AAACCTATCTATGGACTGATTCCTCAGTGGTATTAGGTTGGTTATCTCACTCACCGCACAACTTACAAACATTTGTTGGGAATCGTGTATCTCAAATACAATCTTTGACTTCAAGTCAAGATTGGCATCATGTTTCATCAAAAGATAACCCTGCAGATATATTGTCAAGGGGTTGTTATCCTGAACAATTGGTTGACAACAAAATATGGTGGAATGGACCTGTTTGGTTGACTAAAGATTGCTCAGAATGGCCTAAGTCAATAATTGAAATTGATATATTACCTGAATTAAAGAAACAAACCTATAATTGCCAGGTTATCCCTGAATATTTTCCAATTAAAGAATTTTCCAACTTTTCACGCTTGAAACGTAGCTTTGCTTATGTTTTAAGATTTTTCAAAAATTGCAAAACTGATAGGGCATCTAGAAATTTTGGTAAGCTCACAGTCCATGAAATGAACGATGCATTGGAAAAATTAGTTGTAGTATCCCAAAAGGAATCCTTTCCTAGTGAATATTCATTGCTGTTGCAAAATAAACAATGTCTTAAGGGCCCTCTCAGTGCACTAAACCCATTTATTGATATAAAGGGTGTCTTGAGGGTGGGGGGTAGATTAGAATTGTCAAATTTAGACTATGCCAAAAAGCATCCAGCTGTTTTGTCATGTAAACATCATTTTACAAGATTGCTGTTTTCTTTTGAGCATAAAACATTATTACACGCTGGGCCTCTTCATTTGCTTGCTTCAATTCGAGAACACTATTGGCCAATTGGTGGGCGAAATTTGTCCAGGCATATAGTTCACAAATGCATACGATGTTTTAAGGTGAAACCAAGAGCAATTGGGCAAATGATGGGTGACTTACCTCAAGAACGTATCTCCCCTACGCCTCCTTTTCATGTAACTGGAGTAGATTATGCGGGCCCCTTTCTTATAAAGTCCAAGAGTGGAAGAGGTGCCAAGATATCAAAGTGTTATGTGTGCCTGTTCATTTGTTTTTCGACTCGTGCAATTCATCTAGAATTGGTATCAGAATTAACTTCTGAGGCATTCATTTCCACTTTCAGGCGTTTTGTATCTCGCCGAGGAAAGCCTGCTTTAATATGGTCTGATAATGGTACAAATTTTGTCGGTGCCAATTCTGAGCTGAAGGAACTTAGTAAGTTTTTGCAGGGGCATAGCGAAGAATTTGTAGGAACTTTTGAAAACGAAGGCGTTAGCTGGAAATTTATCCCTTCTCGAGCTCCTAATTTTGGCGGAATTTGGGAGGCAGGAATAAAGTCTTGCAAATTCCACATGAAACGTGTCATGGGCAATGCCTCATTAACTTTTGAGAATTTCTATACATTGCTCACCCAGATTGAAGCCATTTTAAATTCGCGCCCTTTGGTTCCACTTGCTAGTGATCCAAGTGATTATGACGTATTAACACCAGCCCATTTTTTGGTTGGTAGGCGATTGACAGCTTTACCTGATCTCGATGTTAAAGAAAAGTTTGACAATCGTCTTTCTAAATATCAGTACCTTCAAAAGCTTTATCAACATTTTTGGGCGCGTTGGTCGAAGGAATATGTAATCCTCCTTCAACAACGTTTTAAATGGAAACATCCTCAGAAGAATATTCAAGTGGGTGAACTAGTGATACTTCGTGAGGACAATCTCCCTCCTCTCAATTGGAGAATTGGACGTGTAAGTGAAATTCATTTAGGACGTGATAAGCAGTGCCGCGTAGTGTCTGTAAAAACTTCGCGGGGTATACTAAAGAGACCTATCTCTAAGATTTGTCCTTTGCCCATTGACAATGATTAGGGACTTGATTATTTATTAGGTTTAGGAAAACTTGTTTGAATCATTGAAATTAGTTTTTAAGTTTGGATTTAACTATTTGCGTCCATCTATGTTTTGGATAAGGAATTGTATTTGTTTCAGCTTAGCCACCTTTGTATTTTTTTTTATATATTATTTTGTGTTGAAAGTCTCAACCCTTTCAAGGTGGGGGGTATATGTTTCTAAAGTATAAAATGATTTCTGTTAACGAATGGTAAATGTGGCAACGCCAAACCTATATTGCAGATTTCTGTAATATCGGCTGCCCTGGGAGATTGCTATTGGGGGAGAAAAAAGGGAAGGGGGAATATGTCTGAGTCTTGGGAGTGTGGCCGTCTGGCGAAAGGCTGTAAAAAGTGGCAGTGCAAATAAAATGTAATTTTTGATTGAAATTTTCGAGTATTTATTACAAAAAAGTGTCAACAACAATTAGCTGAAGCTTAGGAATGGTTCCTAACACAAAGACAGGCCTGAAAAAAATTCAGAATATACCCATTTATGTTGACCCTCTCCACGGAAATCTTTAGTAAAAGGCGAAAGATTTATTCGCTTTGAAGAGAGTCCAGGATACCGAATCTATGTAAACTTTTCGGCCAGACTCATTCTTCACTTTTCACAGTGACAAAAGTTCGACAGTGGAGACATCTGTTGCCGTGTTATCAGACTCAATTTACCATGACAAAAAATACTAACATTAATTTTAATGTAAGTATTCCCTTTTTGGAACGTTTCTGCGATGTTACTGTGTTTAGGGTAGATCCCCTTCAAAGTGTAATTATATAATATATAATATTACATTTATGCGTTTATCATCTCTAGTCCGAGTTCTGAGTCCGATATTCTTTTTATCCATTTGCAATGCATTCGATAAAACGCACAACAGCTGTCAATAATTCCCTTCCCATAACGTAACAATAATAATTTCTTCTAGAGTTTGCATTTGCGAATCTTGGCAATCATTAATCAAAAATAAATAAATATATTTTTTCTTTGCTTTCGCCATAACGTCAATAATTTATACAATTTTTATACAATGGATTGAGAGCCAACTACGATATTACCTATCTCTTTTTCTTTCCTTAAATAATCCATTCTCCCTCAGGAGAGGGATATTATTTCAATGCAGATAAAGAAATGTTTGCGATTTTCTTCAAACAGAAAGTTCAGTTCTGTGAACTTGTGAACATGGCTAATTCTTTAGGTAGATATGATTCTTGGGTAGAGTTAAAAAAAAACAAAAAATAAAAAAAATGGGTAGAATCAAGTTGATTTACCGTCGAAGCGTCCAGTAATCGCGTTGATGAGGGTAATCAGCTGATTGAATTCCACATTCTTTTGTTTAATTAATTAATCCGGGACAGCGCGTACGCAGTCCCGACTACCAAAAATTACGCGCCCGAGTTATCCGCATTAGGGATAATCGCAGGGGCCAGCCCAACCGTAGTGCAATGGAAGGGCCTCACCCCGGGGAACCGCCTTGTTGATCACGGTAGCCCCTACGCCAGGTAAGTATGATTTGGACCACGCAATTTCTGCAGCTCATTCTATCAGCCATCAGTAAGCTGACATTTTCTCGACTGTGCTGCCATCCTTCATCAAATGGGAGAATTTTATTTGGTTATTTTCATTTATTTTGGCTCACTGGATTTTGTGGAAGACGAACACGCAACGCAGTGATTGCATTGCTGGAAAAAAAAAACGTGTGTACACGATGTTGAACCCGTAGTCTAAGATTTTTCCATTCTTTATCCCGAGTCCTGAGCATTGCTAAGGTCTGTTTTTTTTTTAGGATAAAAGTCAAAATGACATTATGTTGGCAATACAATGTAGAATTGTCAAATGCTTTCAAATTTTTTATGGAGGAAAGCCTTGTGTTGCCAACATTGTTACTTAATTTTTGACTTGGGGAATTATTTTTAAAAAAAACAGACTTTATTTCCTAACTCTATCATGTATTTCTTTTTTTTTAGTAACAGATCAATATTATATTTTTTTGTGTTTGCGTTCGCCAGTCTATCGAGAAACGCGTACATTATTTTTGACTACACAGAGAGAAAGGAATTCTTCCATCAAATATTGCGATTTTCTTTAAAAAATATTTTTCAGTTAAGGCAAGGCATCTTGGATGAAAATATTATTATTGATTTAAAAATTATAATTTATTTCTATTTAGAAATATTTATTCTTAAAACATATTCTTGGAAATAGTAAAACTAACTCGACTCAAGAAAAACCTAGTTTTATGTAAAACAACATCCAACCTGTATATTCTTGTATCTATCAATATTTAAATCAAATCAATAATCTCCGGTTTTTTCAAGTCAAGCCAAAAATTTAAATTTTACTTCATCCAAGAATTGCATTATATGGAATATTCTTGAAACAAGACAAGCTGTGACTTGATCCGCACAATTTTATTTTGAGTGGGTATCTAAAACAAATTTCATGCAGAATTGCAGTCAGTGTTTTACTATTTGTGGGGTGGATTACAACGACCGGATGCCGGGACAGAACGTTTTGTGCGTAACACGTGAGTTTATAATTGCATAAAAAACTACCAAGAAGAACTAAATAGGGAATATTCGGAAAATAAAGTTCTACGAAATATTATAAATGGAAGCGTTTGATCTTCCAAATTTAATAGTGATACTTTACCCTTAGTATTGTATTATGATGATTTCGAAAGCGGAAATCCACTTGGAAGCCATGCAGGAAATTATAAAATAAGCGCTATGTATTTTTACATTGCAACATTACCACCTGATCACATTAGCAAATTAGAAAATATATTTGTTACTTTCTTGCTTCATTCAATTGATAAGGCAACTTTTGGGAATTCTGTATTTCAAACTATTATTAATGAATTAACTGTCTTAGAAACTAACGGAAATGATATAAATATAAATAATAAATCTGTCAATGTCAAATTAGCATTGGTGCAATTACTGGTGATAACCTAGGAGTACATGGCATACTCGGATTATTTGAAAGTTTTTCAGCTACACATTTTTGCCGATTTTGCCTTATTTCTAAAGAAGAAACTAAAACACTTACGCATGAGATACAAGAGTACATGCGAAAAGAGTCTGATTATGATGATCACTTGCATCGTAAAATTGGTGTTAAAGAAAATTGTATATTCCATTCATTACCTAACTTTCATTTGTATAGAAATGTCACTTGCGATGTTATGCATGACTTATGCGAAGGAGTTCACCGATATAGTATGGCCGTTTTAATCGATAATTTAATTAGAAAGAAATATTTCACATTGGATAACCTAAATGCTAGAATAAGATATTTTACATATCAAATTTCTGAAAAAAATGTTCCTCCTCCCGTAACAAAACAACATTTATTAAACGGATGTATTATTTTCTCGGCATCAGAAATGTTTGATTTAATTCCGGATAATGAAGCTTTATGGATATATTATTTAAGCTTATTGGAAATTATACAAATTTTAACTAGTCAATCAATAACTACTTCAATTTTACAGCATCTAGAAACTCTCATTGATGAACACCATCAGACGTTTCTCGCTCTTTTTAACACTTCTTTGAAACCCAAATTTCATCTTTTGGTACATTATGTTCACATAATAGAAAAAATTGGTCCTCCTATTTTCATTAGCAGTTTCAAAGGTGAGGCCAAGCATAGAGATACTTTTAAATCTCTATGCTGTTGGGTTTAAAACTCAAATTATCACACTATTCTTATTTTATTTTAAGAGTTATTTTCCTTTTTTTTCCAATGGCTGTATTTGAAAGAAGACTGATAATTTGAAGACTACCAAAAGCAGATTTAAGTTGTGAATATTTGAAGGTGTTATTTTTTTTTATTTTTATTAGTGTTAGGTTGAATTCTCAAATTATCACACTACTCTTATTTTATTTTACTTGTTATTTTTCGTTTTTTTGTTTTTCAATGGTATTTGAAAGTAGATTAATGATTTGTAAACTATCAAATCTAAAAGTACAAACTCAAATTAAATTTATTCTAGGTTGTTTATACTTAACACAGTTATAAAGTTTCGTCATTCTCTAGTTTAGTTACATTGTTTTTTTAATAAAGAAAAATAAAATTTACCAGAAGATATTTTTTTTTTACACCTAGTTATACCCAGTACAATAATAATTGTGCTTGATTTTAGGTACCTAGTATATATTTTTTTCTACCTGATGTAACAAAATTACGTGTACAAAAAGTGAGTACTTATAGATACCATAACTGAAAATAAAAATATGGCGAGTTTAATTGGACTCACCTATTCTTAAAATTTGCTTCATTTTTCTGATATGTAGTCTCTTGAAGTGACAAACATCAATATATTTTTGAAGCTTTGAAGTGGAAAAAGTACACTAAATCCATATAAACTCACCCTATTGTGATGTAGGGTATCTGTGCTCACCTTTTGTATACGTAATTTTGAAACATCCTCTAAACGAAAATATAATAGGTACCTAATATCAAAGCACAATTATTCTTATTTTGAAAATATGAATAGGTGATGATATTCTTGAATCAAAACTATATTTGAAAAAACGATGCTTCATACAAGAACAAGTATTCTAAAATCAAGAAACTGTATTCTCCAATTTTATACCCGCATACTAATTCTAAGAAAATATTGATTTGAGTTAAATAAATAAAATTCTCTATTGGAAATTCATTTTATGCGAATTTGTTTGAATTGAATACATGACTAATTTCCTTTAAATATATGGAAAATTCTTTAAGGAAATAAAATATTTTCTTTTTATGAAATAATATACGCAAGCAATCTCTTTACTTACAAGAAGAATATATTTTTTTTTCGTTATATATAAATCACTTATTATCTTGGGGCAAATCAAATTGGTTTAATTGGAAATATTTTTTCTTTATGTGTAGTGAATGCAATACCGGGATACCGGGATCCCGAAATACCGGGATCCCGAAATGCCGGGATCCCGCACGCCATATGCGGGACTGATCTCGCTTATAAAATGTACGGGATCCCGCCGGGATTTGCGGGATTGAAAAAAACTGTACTTGGTGTCACTCGGCGCCTGGTACGCGCGAACAGGATGACGGATCGTGGTGGGAGAAACTTTCTTGCCCTAATTTGAAGTTGTTTACTATTTTTTAATTTTGACAGTTTTGTCCCAACTTTAATAAGGACGTGTAGCAGTCGCAGTGCAACGAATTCTTAATTGTGGTTAAGTTAACAAAATTTACCTTTTTAAGTAAGTAGGTATTCAAGTTTAAATAGTTATCATTATGTCAGAAACAGCTCTGTTCCAACCGACATGAGAACCGTTCTAGAACGGTAATTTTCAGTTGATCAATTCATTTGCCAAGTAGGATAAACGTTCAACTCATTGAAAAATAGGTGGTCAACTGGAAATTACTGGTTCTGGAACGGCTCTCATGTCGGTTGGAACAGAGCTACATGTTCCGACATAATGATAAGTATTTAAACTTGAATACCTACTTAGTTAAAAAGGTAAATTTTGTTAACCTGCAGAATGCAAGTTATGTAAATGAATAATTTAAACGACAGGATGTTTGCGCAGTTATTTCCATCAAAATAATATTCAAATATCTTCTGACTTGTTATGGTAAGCTTTTCATAATAATGTTTAATTATCTTTGAGAAACATATTATTAATTAATTTGATACTTGATATTTGTTCAATTTTAGTCAAAATCCTTTAAATCTGGTACTATATTATGATTTATTTACAGTCACATAAAATTCTGCGGGATCCCGCAAATACCTGGATCCCGCAGGATTGGAAATGTCCAGTCCCGCAAATACCGGGATTGGAATTATCTTGCGGGATTGTATTCCCTATTTTTGACACATGAACTTACTCTCCTCTATTGGGATTTCAAGATAAGCGGTACTCTATCTGGCGGCAAATTACGGAACTAGTTTGTAGTACATTGTCATATGTTTTTCTATTGTTAATCATTGTATTTGTGTAAATATTTTTGAGGTGTTTTTGAGTTTTTAAAGAGTGTTGGTGAATTATTAAGTTTAAATTATATCAAATAGATTCAATTATGACCTCCAATCACTACTGTTGTGTTCCTCAGTGCAAATCTTGGGCTAAAAAGATGCTGACAAAGGATTGAGTTTTCACATATTTCCCTCTGAAACAGGCCCACAGGTTTATTTGGAAACGAAGATGAGAAAAGAGTAGTGTCGAGAAGAAAAGCCTGGATTTTGAAACTTCGTATTGGCAAATCAGTCACCAAATTCATGAAAATGGAAAATGTATTTCTCTGCATTTCAAGCAAGAAGTTTGTGTTAAGGTAAACAAGCATAATGGATATTTTTGTGCCCTAGCTTTCTTTTAGGCCTGCTCTCAGGCATTGATTAAGTACCTATTATCTATTTTTAAAATGTTATGTTTGAAAAAATTTAATGTTTTTATTATTTACAGGTGAGAGTACAGGTCGGCGGGCGTAATTTCGACCGGTAATCCCCTCGTCTACCTGCCCAAAGCAAGAGGCCCATTTATTGACATAAGTAATTTCGACCGAGGGTTCTTTGCAGAGAAAAATTGTTACAGCTTCATGCAAGAGAAAAGCCCAGGAAGACATATCGGAAAAACCTTCGAAGATTATAAAAATCGTCCTTTCAACAAATTTACCGGAGGAATTGATGGCCATGGATATAAATCTTATCGGAAGAAATGTCTATAACAGTCGTCAGAAGATCTTGCCAGCCCTGCCTAAAGATATTCATGAAGTACATACTGTAGTTGACATGTATTCTCTAAAAACGACAACGAGTGAAAATGTTTTGTTTATCAATAGTTCAGCAGAAAATATCATTGTATTTTCTTGCCATACAAATATTACCACTTTGTGTAAAATGGATGTTATATACATGGATAGCACATTTTCTTTCTGTACGAAGTACATTTATCAATTATTTACCATTCATAGACTGGAAAATGGGCCTATATTCCCCTTATTTGAGTTGTACACGTTCTCCTTTTTCTCGACAGCAATTTTGTCTTTGATTTTAGTTTAATAAAGAAGCTTTTATACATCATTATCATTATATTTTATTATACCTACCTGCTCCTTTGGGTCGAAAATACTCATAACATAAGATCGAACCCTCAAACCTCTGGTCGAATTTACATGTCCCCTTCAAGTACCTGTACATATTCCGGTCGAAATTACATCAGCCCGTACAGGTAGAGGTTGGATATTGAAAAAAAACAGCTTTACCATCACAGAATTTGCCCTCTTCTACAGTGATCCATCAACCCAGTCAAAAAACAGATTCCATGTGTGCTGAAAGACTTGCCAAAAGAAAAAGAAATCAAGATTCTAGTTAGAGCGATACAAGTAATGAATGTAGTGATACTTGTAATCAATTATTAAACTCTTCTGAGACAGACATACAAATGAACGAGCAAACAGCTGAAAGTGTCAAGTTTTTATTAAATTATAATTACCAGTATTATAGGCAGGTTTGTGGTCAAGTTATTTGACTTTGTTAATTAAATTTTTACCTATTTACAAATAAAAATAAAGAGTTATTTATGAAATATTTATTTATTTATTGCACATACAAGTTATTCAAATACAGACATTATAAGGGACATATTATCTGCCTTGAACCTTTTGGCAATGTCCTATTGTGGAAAGTTTTAAAAAAATATAAGAAAAAGATCCGTTTAGGCTGTTGTATGGATATGACCATTTCGGATCAGGTAAACGAAATGGATTATATTGAATTTTGGCCTGCATTAAGAGCCGTAAACATAAGACAAACATTCAAGCAATTTCAACTCGAATTTCAATTCAATTTTCAATTTCAATTTATTTAATGTTCTCAAAAGAAATACATTCTTATGAACATGAGTTCACGTAAAAGCATAAATTAAATATTAGTAAAACAAACAAAGTGCATAATATTAACAAAAAGAAAACCCAATAACCAAAAAAATAAAAAAATAAAAATAAAAAATTAAACTTTTAAATATAGTGCAATAATGTTCAAAAGTACCCACCATCACTAATCACCAGGAAAACAAGGAAAAAACAAAAATGTTACACAATTTAATACAATCGTTGCCTCATTCGTTACGCAGTTTAGCTTTAAAATATTTGCAACAGTGTTATAGATTTCTTTATCAGAGTTGAGGGTTAGGTCATCCAGAGCTAAAGCAAAGTTTTCGTCACTCCAGTTTAATGGTCGCAAGCACTGGCGTAGCCAGGAGGGGGGGCAAGGGGGCATTTGCCCCCCCCCCCCCCCCCCCAAGACCATTAAATTTTATGAATAATTCTTTAAAATTAAAATAAACAGTCCCAAAAATAGCGTGAAGAAACCTGAAAAAGGGGCGTGGCACCCAAAAATTTCGCCTTCGGCAGCAGTCGCGGTGGAGCCGCAAGAAACATTTCCTTCAAATTTCCCCCCCCAAGACAAAATCCTGGCTACGCTACTGGTCGCAAGTGTTTATATAAACATTCAAGCTAATGTAAATCATATGTAAATTAGGTTCAAAACAAAAGTGAGGTTATAAATCAATATACTAGAAACTAGTTGAGCTAGTCGACACCGCGGCGCTACGATCTTAATTTGAAATCCCAATATCATTACACCTACTGAAAAATGTATCTTGAAGATTGAAGA